GTTGGAAAGTGTGGAGTAATTTACCAAAATCAAATTGTTAAGCGTATCTTTGTTATTATAGATATGATTTTTCATAAGATATAATAATAATAAGATTATTAAAGAGTTAATGTAACATCACTTTCTAGTAATAGTCTATTTTTAAAAAAAATCACACATGAAGTCAAGTCATGACTTCTGTTTTAATATATAAGATTTATTTTACTTAGATAACAGTTTTATGGAATTTCCACTGCATTTTTTTTCCTTACCAAGTGACATCTTATCTGCTTAATTAGAAAAAAATATAAAATTAGCATAAAATAAAATATTGAGGATTATGTCAACACTAGAGTTGATGGTATTTTGGTAAAATAGCTTAAGAAAAACCTTGAAAGAAAAAGAATGATTAACACATGTCAATTATAATTTTTGTATGGGTAATAATTTTAATTAAAGCTTGACAAATGGGCCGTTAGATGTGGGCCTACAGAAATGGGGCCCACGACTTACAAACGGCTGCGTTGACTGTACACTCGGATAGGACTTCATATCGTCTCTCTAACCAAAACAAGAAGCTCTTCAAGTCACACGTTTTTCTTCTACTCTTTTTGTTCTTTTGTGTTCTATTAGTTTCTTATGTTCGATCTGTTACTACAATTAGAAGAAGAAGATGATGACTTTATGGGCGTGATTCGGTCTCTGGTCTAAAATCATGTTTTTTTTAGAATATTGCCTGTTGAGTAATTCGTTGCTTTGTCGTAAAATTTCCACTTTTCTTTTCAGCTGATGCCTGCAAAGTGTTTGCGTATATTCCACAGAGAACCTCAACTTTGCTTAAAATAAAGAAGATAACCCCACACTGCTGAACTGATTCTTGTCGGGTAAAAGCTTTGTCTTTTTATTCTTACTCTTTACCGTCTCTTTGCTTCTTATCTTTGATTAATTGTTAAACACTCTTCTTCCATGATTTTCACACTTTTCTTAGTTAATTTTCTCAACTCGATTCGTTCGTTTAATAGCTTATCCTCGCGTAGATCTTGATTCAGTTTTCTCCTACTCCTAGTCAGTAATAACAGTGATTCTACAGGTCAATGCTGAAAAAGCCATTGATGGTTGTAGTTTAAGTACAAAACTAGCTGAAGTGTTCCTTAGTTTGATTGCATTGTCTCCATGAGATTGGGCATTGATTCATCCGTGGCTGTAACGGCACTGATTGTGGCCATTCTGGTGGTTCCAATTGGTTGCCAAAGGCCTCAAGTGGTGAACCTCGGTGCTGTTTTTACTTTTGATTCGGTTATCGGAAGGGCTGCAAAAGTAGCTCTCGAGGCAGCTGTCTCCGATGTGAACGCTGACGCTAGCGTTCTCAAAGGTACGGAGCTACGGCTGCTCATGAAGGACTCTTCCTGCAATGTCTTTCATGGCTCATTCGGAGGTACCGTGCTGTTTTTCTAATTTTTTTTGTGTTCATGTCCCTCATCCATGGTCCCAGTAGAATCTTTCCAATTCAGGATAGACTCTTTTTGGCTTTGATTGGTTTGGTCTGAAGTAGATTAGTCCTCATTTTTATTGTATCAAAGGCGATTCACACAAGTTTCTACATGCACAGTAGGAGCTAAGATCTGGACCAAATAGAGTTAGTGAAAGAAGAGCAACATTAAATGACGTCTGATAATCTCACATAGGAAATATTACAATTATGTTTTGAATTAGTTTTGGGGACAAAATCTTGGGTTTCGAGTGCTGTTTTTACATAGAACATGGTAACCTCAGACCCGATACAGGTTGTTCCGTACAGAACATGTGTGTCATGCATGTAAATGGAAGCATAACTTTGGCTTTACCAATAACGGCCAGGTCTAACTTCGAGTGATTCTTGTTTGCAGCTTTTGAAGTGCTTGAGAAAGAAGTGGTGGCTATGATCGGTCCAGTTTCATCCTCCGTTGCTCATACACTGTCAGATATTGCCAAAGGGCTCCAGTTTCCTCTAGTCTCATTTGCAGCAACTGATCCAACTCTCTCTGCACTCCAGTTCCCCTTCTTTCTCCGGACAACACCTAATGATGCCCATCAAATGTCTGCCCTTGTGGATTTTATCAATTTTCATGGATGGAAAGAGGTGATATCTGTTTACTCAGATGATGAGCTCGGAAGAAATGGAGTTTCTGCATTAGATGATGAACTGTACAAGAAAAGATCCAGAATATCCTATAAAGTGCCGCTCTCAGTGCATTCTGATGATAAATCCGTTACTGATGCGTTGAACAAATCCAAGTCCCTCGGTCCTCGAGTCTATATTCTTCACTTTGGTCCTGACCCTTCGCTCAGAATTTTTAGTATAGCGCGAAAGCTGAAGATGATGACCCATGAATATGTGTGGCTCGCCACAGACTGGCTCGCAGTTACCTTGGATTCTTCTTTGAGTGACAAAAGTACTTTAAAACGTCTTGAAGGAGTGGTGGGGCTTCGTCAACACATCCCAGAGTCTGTAAAGATGCACCAATTCACACATAAACTGAAGAGCAACACATCAATGAATGCCTACGCGTTCCATGCCTATGATACAGTGTGGATGATTGCATATGGCATCGAGAAAATGCTGAATGAGGGAATCAATATAACATTCTCGTACTCCGAGAAGTTAATTCAAGCACAAGGAACTAAACTGCACCTGGAGAGAGTCAAAATTTTCAACAGCGGGAAGATGCTACTTGAAAAACTTCTGCAGGTGAACTTCACTGGTATAGCCGGTCAAGTTCAGTTTAGTTCTGGTCGTAATGTCATTGGCGGTGACTATGAAATCATCAATGTAGACAAAACCGGTGTTCATACTGTGGGTTTCTGGTCGAAACATGGAGGCTTTTCGGTTGTAGCCCCAGAAACTCGACATACACGAAAGAAGTCTGGATTTGTTTCTGAAGAAAAACTTGGAAACATAACTTGGCCTGGTGGTGGCCGTGAAAAGCCGCGTGGTTGGGTCATTGCAGATTCCGCCAATCCATTGAAGATTGTTATCCCAAAGAGAGTAAGCTTTGTCGAGTTTGTGACCGAGGAAAATAATAGTAGCCATCTGATCAAAGGATTCTGCATCGACATCTTCACTGAAGCATTGAAGTTCATCCCCTATAGTGTTCCTTACGTATTTGAGTCATTCGGGGATGGTCGTTCAAGTCCTAATTACAACCAAATGATTCAAATGGTCGCGGATGGGGTAAGTATCCACATAAAAAGTGTACAAAACTGATTCACTTAATATTACGAGAATAACATTTACTGAGATCATGGTTGGGTATTTGCATGTTTTTATTTTATTCCACTGTTTTCAGGTATATGATGCAGCTGTTGGAGATATTGCAATAGTCCCAACCCGGTCCAAATTAGTAGATTTCTCGCAGCCATATGCGTCTACAGGCCTTGTGGTAGTGATTTCAGCTAAAGACGACAATGCCACTTGGATATTTCTAAGACCCTTCACCATCCGGTTATGGTGCGTTGTTGTAGCTTCATTCTTCTGTATTGCCATAGTCATCTGGATCCTTGAACATCGGATCAATGAAGATTTCAGAGGGCCACCCCGAAGACAACTCATCACAATGATCTTGTATGTTCAGCTCGTAATATTCACTGAACTTGATAGTTCATTATGGAGTTTTCTCTGACAATTGTACTCTGGTATGTTCTTACAGGTTCAGTTTCTCAACTCTTTTTAAGAGAAATCGTGAGTAACCCAGCCTCATTCATCTTTCTTTAGCACCATCAAGCAAAGTTTGATAGAGTTACATTTCCGGATCTGTCTAATACATAATCGACTCTAGATATATTTTCTCTATCAACTAATATCTGCGCTCTTGCTGTTTTATCATGTTCTGTCAACAGAGGAAGATACGATAAGCAATTTAGCGAGACTGGTGATGATTGTATGGCTCTTTCTGTTAATGGTTCTAACCGCAAGCTACACAGCGAACCTCACTTCAATCCTCACAGTTCAACAGCTTCCCTCTGCCATTACCGGCATTGACAGCTTGCGAGCAAGTGAAGTGCCTGTCGGTTACCAATCTGGGACGTTCACTTTAGAGTATTTAACCTACAGTCTTGGTATGGCTCGGTCTAGGCTGGTCCCACTTGAATCAACTGAGGAGTATGAAAGGGCTCTAAAGCTAGGACCAACCGCTTATGGAGGCGTAGCTGCCATTGTTGACGAGCTCCCTTACATTGAACTGTTTCTAGCGGAACGGGCGGGTTTCAAGATTGTCGG